AGTTAATATCAGACAGATTTCCTCATCCAGAATATTTTTTTCGTTTTGACGTTCTGAAATTGCATGATTGGATGCCTTTGAATTGAACTCCGAGAAGGCTAATTGCGGTTAATATCTGGTTGCAGCTGGTTTGCCCAGTACCAGTTGAAGGATTTTGCGCGGTCGGGGAACAAGGCCGTCTCAACTGTGGTCCTGTTCGAGGGACCCTTACCTCAGTTCTCACATTCCATGGAACCACAGCTGAGGCAGCTGGGATTGCCGACCAAGCTGGAACGGGGTAAGTTCTTTACTTCTGTCAGCTGCCATGTTGGTGTCCCAATTTGCATATTTAAATGAGGGCCTGCAAGGGGGGTCCCGGCAACGCTCTACGCTGAATTCGGAAACCTCTCGATTACGCTTTACGATAAATTCCAAGTGGCTACAACGCATTACGTAGAATTTAAACGCCGAATACGCTCTACGCAAAAATATTTGAGCGGTCCGTCTACGCTCTACGTAGAATTAAAACGGCCGATTATGCTCTACGGAAAAGGGCTTGAGAGCCCCCTTAAATGAATCGTAGTTCAGTCTTAGTGTTTTCACACTTACTTATTTGCATGCTGCTGCATTTCTAGCACAAGCTGCTAGAGGGCCTAAACTAATGTCACTTCTTCTGGAGGAAAAGAGCTATCTAGCATCCAAAATTTGTGACTCTAGCTTGTCCAGATCATGAGATATCAAAACCAGAAGTTCCATTGCAGTACCATTACAAGCTGCCAGGGGCCCAAAATCTTATCATTTCTTGGTTTCATCAAGACCTACCCACTTACCAAGTTTAATGAGAATCCATCCAACGCTTCTTGACTTTTTTGTGCTTAACCACATACATACATACACACACACACATACCCACACATAAACACTGGAGAAAACATAGCCTTCTAGGCAAAGGTAACAATTGTGCAGACTTTGGTTTGTCATGTATAACGTGTGAGGTACACATGCATTGTATTGTTACACAATCTAAATGAACTCAGACATAACAGCAAATTCTATACAGCAGAAGTGCTTGTTAGTTCTCATGTGCTTCTTGCAAAATATGGAAAGATTTGTGACTGTAAACTTTAATGGCAAAAAACTAGACAATATTGGCTATTATGACGGACCCCCACTGTAGTTGTAGCTGTTATCCCACTGTATGGTGCATTGCTAGAATCAACTCTTACATTTGTGATGGCCTTTTGATTGGCAAAAAGCGATTTGGCACAATATGTTGTTGTTCGCGATGTGTTATAATTTCATGTACTGGAACATCTTTCCATATTTCCTAGCTGAATTTAAAATGTTGTTTGGCGAGACTATCGTAAAATGTCTTGCCATTATACTTTTGATTTATGGTTAGAAATATACTTTTTTCACCATTTGTAATATACAAAAGACGTAAAGAATACTGGCAATAGAGATAGAGAATTTGGGAAAACACTTCCTACGTACAGTATCTCTAATGTAACTTTCAGCCCCAAGTTTAAATGTTTAGAGTGAAAAATGTAACATTTGTTTTTTTTCATGTACATTTGTACTACAGATTATATTGTCTAGCCTATGTAAAGGTAAAATAATAGTTAGTCTCATAGCCTCTTTTTTAGGCTGTAGGGGCAGTGGGTTGTTAGTCCACTATGTCTAGGGGACGGAATTGGAAGGTGGAGCCCATCCCTCTCCTTCCACTGCCTTTTACCTCCCCAACCGAAGTTATGTACCCATTTTACATCAGCGTGAAGTGAGGAAAGTCATGCATAGTGCCTTTCCCAAGGGCACACAATTGATGTCAGTACAGGATTCGAACTGAGGACCTCTGAGTTTTGGGCAAAGCATGCTGCTGTTACACCACACGACCCCACATTTTGTATGTACTCAATGGTAATAAAAGTACACTCAGTCTGCTGCATTTGTACCCACAGGTGAGATAACCCTGATCTCACACTGCTGTTCTTGTACCCACAGGTGAGATAACCCTGATCTCACACTGCTGTTCTTGTACCCACAGGTGAGATAACGCTGATCTCACACTGCTGTTCTTGTACCCACAGGTGAGATAACCCTGATCTCACACTGCTGTTCTTGTACCCACAGGTGAGATAACCCTGATCTCAC